GAAAAAACAATTTAGCATTTGTCGTAGAGCTTCTCAGGAAAAAGAGAACTACTTTTTTTACCCGTCCTAACAACCCATCCACTTGCGCCACACGAGATTCTTTCTCAGCAGCCAAATGAACAGTGTGTAATAGTAATACAGCTTTCATTAAATCCCGGAGTCCACCCATCACTGGCTAAGGCACCAGAAAAACCACTTTCACTTTAGCGTCAAGCTTGTCCTTTTCAACTTTGTAAAGGTCTGAAAATACTTAGAAGGGACCTCATGTCTTGGTTCCAAACGCTTTAGTAGAGTCTTTAAGCCAGGATTATCCACCACTGAAAATGGTGTTATATCTTTAGCCATAAAGATTCCGATAGTTCTTATCATCTATTTTGTAAAAACGTCGTATAGCAGTGGGTGTCCTGGTCGGGGGTATATTGTAAACATGGTAAGTATCCAAGATAGAAAGCAAATATTGTCCAGAAAATGTTCAGAATAATCACTAGGAGGATACTATGAAAAAGACGTTCTATACCACTACTATAGCAAATCTACCTCTGCTGATACTTGAAGGATGATCACATAAATGAAAATGGTTATATGACAACTTTGATATTTCTGTGGGCTTAAGAAAGGTTTTACTCAAAAGAAAGCATACATAATCAACAAGGAGAATTTCGAGCAGAGGAAGAGTATTAAAGAAAAAGTGGATGATAACAAATAAAAAGATCAACAGTTTGTCACGGAACATCCTGGTTCTTTAGGATCCCATAGTTGACGAAAATAATAATTAGTATTAGTATAATTAGTATAATAATTAGGAGAGTTTTGATCAGAGGAAAAGTCTTAAAGAAAAAGTGGATGATAACAAATAAAAAATTCAACACTTTGTCTCGGGACATCCTAGTTCTTTAGGATCCCATAGTTGACAAAAATAATAATTAGTATTAGTATAATTAGTATAATAATTAGGAGAGTTTTGAGCAGAGGAAGAGTCTTAAAGAAAAAGTGGATGATAAGAAATAAAAAATTCAACACTTTGTCTCGGGACATCCTAGTTCTTTAGGATCCCATAGTTGACAAAAATAATAATTAGTATTCAGTCCAGAGTAGGTATTCTGCATAATGAGCTTAAAGATTGATTTAATAGCATAATTGATACTGTCAAGAACAAATGGTCGCTTATAGAAATGAATATTCTGAAGAGCAATGATAAGAAAGCGAAGAAGGAGGAGGAGGAAAAATCCGAGTTTCAAGAAGTACTATGAAGCCAGAGATAGTGACTGGAGCCACGACATTTGTAATAATATATAGGGTGGACGACGATTACTCCTTCTCCTTTCCCATTATCCACCAATTTTTTTCTAAAATCCAAGCAGACGTATTAATTCAGTAAAATTTTCAATTATGTTCAATAATAATATTCTTCATCCAATTCAGCTTCACTGTTTGACTTATGACCAGTGAAATTGGATTTTTCTCGAGGCACTCCCCTTTTCTCCCTACAACAAATTCTTGTGTATTGGATCACTTGATTTCCTTCCTGTCAAGTTGAATCCTTCGATTTTGTTTGTTTGAAGTTATGCACAAAGCTACACAATGGGCTATCTGGGATCGAAACCCGGTTTCTAACGTTGTAAGTCTGCAGACATACCGCTGTGCCACTAGGGGGCGGATCCTTCTATCTCAGATTTTTGATTTTAGAAAAGAAGAGAATTTACTTCAAACTAACCATCAGCGAAGATCCACATGAAAACACGATGAAGATCCACATATCAAGATAACACTCGAGCTTATTCGGCTTTCTTTCTCTGGGGCGGCCATCTCGGTGGAAACGAAAATCAAGATAGTCATGAATCTTAATTTTTCTACCACGTATTATTCTCAATAACCATTTAAACCACGAGTGGAACGAAAAGAGATCGGGTGATCTCTGAGCACCCTTGATTTACTTAAAACCTAAATACCTACCATGTTTTGGTATTTGGATTTCTATTTGTCTTTGTCCGTGCAGGGTTACTGATGATGGGTGAAATTTCCTGACACTGGTATGACAAGTGGTAAATTCAATGATAGATTGGGCTTCTTATCTATTTTTTGGAGCTTTATCATTTTGCTATTTTTTATGAACATCGCTGTTGTTGGTTAAATGTCGAGCATTCTTGAACTTGTTCTGAGAAATAATATTATTTCCAACAATATAAAACGTATTCAATTAACTGAACACCTGATGTAGGTCTATGGCCGAAACTAGTGCCGTTTTTTAAAGTAATAAATCTTATTAACTACAAAATAAAAAGTTGTTTGAAAATCTGTTTAAGAACACTACGATATTTAAATAAAATTAAGATTACTTGAGTAGGCCTCAGCTACTTATTATTATCCACCACACTATTCTGATTTTACTGGATACAGAATATGTCTTTGGTTCTGGTCACATTCGTGACTCACAGAAAAATCGTATTGTTACGACAGCGGAAGTCACGTGACCCTGGTAACACGTGATGAGATTCTCGAACGATCATGAATTTCCCTGGCAACTCTAGTTTGTTCCAGGCGCCCTCTTTTTTAGTATATAAGCCCGGCAAATAAAGGGAGGATAGAATTGCATAAATAGATAGATATAGAGAGAGATAATTGAGTCAAGCAAACTGTGATTTATAGCGTGTTATAAACGTTGTAAAGTGTACTACAAAGTTGTATCCAGAAAGAATAAACTAGTTTTAATTAAGAAAGGACTTGTATCGCTGAAGTTCCTCGGAAAAAATTTATACCGGAAATTAACAAACGAGCAGATACGCAACAGTATGTAGAAAACAGGAACATAATTTCTTATTTTCATTCAGTTTCAATAAGCATTAAAGCAAATTTTAAAAAAATACCCCAGGCCTTGACCTCATTAATATTAAGTCCGTGTTATAGCTATTTTTACACTGACAAACCAGTAAAAGTAAATATATTACTAATAAAATAACGACCTATACCTCCATATATATTTCTAATGGGCGAACTTGTAGTTTATCGATAGCTCCTGACGAAGCTGTAACAGCGAATTATCGAACCAATAAAGATACACTCTGGAGATATAGATCGTTATTTGATTTATATTAATAGAAATGTATCGTTAAATGTTGCGTTAAACAAAGTTAAGAGTAATAGATTATAATATCACAGTTCGGCAGACTAGACTGTGTTATTACTAAATGCACATACTGCTAAACTGTTAGTTTAACAGTGACAGGACTAAAAGTTGAGGGTATTCCTTGCTATAACCTTTAATTTACTGTAAATGTAACTGCAAGTTGAAATAATGTTTCACCTTTAAAGTTTATGGTGTAAGCAGTGTATTAATTTTCACATTGTAAATATATGACATCTTTTCAGACCTTTCTCAAATAATGTTTAACCCTTTTTTGCCAATAAATTTACCTAGATTAAACTAATAATTTGTGACAACAGACAATTAAATAAATTTACATTGAAAACTCAGTGTTTAACAAGTGCAAACTTTGTGAGTTTTTGTTTTTTTCTCGACAGAAAAGCTATGGAGCACGTGACTACAGTTTCCTACATTGTCAGAAGACACGTAATCGAAATACTGTTCTACGGGAGAAAATTTATACAAGGAACCATTGCTTTAAAAACCGAAATTAAAAAGTTATAGCTTTATAGTTTTCTTAAGGTTGGAAGTAATCATGGCATTTCACGTTTAATGAGAGCAGACATAAACATATTTTATTTTTAGAAATCATAGGTAACTGACATTAGTTAAGGTTTAAATCACTGACCTGACTATCTATGGGTAGAGTAACACCATTATCAGATTATGGTAAGGGGTGAAATCACCGGAAGACTGCCTACGACCATCTTCCTGCACTCGTACAAGGCCAGTTCCACTATATTATTATATTACTATTATTCTATATTAATTTTGATCAAAATGCTTTGCTGTTCTGCCTTTGGAGGTAGCAAAATATTGATCTAAGGTTGTAGAAAGACCTTCCACTTGTAAGTAACTATAAAGGTTCATTATGTATCAGTTAAATGAATTTCATCAACTTTATAGAGAACGGGTGCTGTCTGTAACGCACGTGTGACAAACATATTTCCATACATTTTGGTGTGTGTGTATTAAACCGTACTTAATGTAAGATATATGTATCTACATTACTTAACATGACCACTGCTTACTTGGTAAGCTAAAAAAATGAACTTGTGCTCAGAATAAATATATATAAATACTTTCCTGGCTGTGACATGTTTATTCAGCCTCTTCAACAGCGCGTCCTTTTTTCGCTTTCGTAAATATAATTTAACAAGAACATTTTGCACGGCGACAAGTGAAGCGTGAAAATAGATCAGTTACTAAGTATTTTTTAACTTCACTATCATATATCTCGACTTAGCACGAGTAAATTAGAAGGAAACAGTTGTTGTTTGAAGTTAAGCACAAAGCTACACAATGGGCTGTCTGTGCTCTGCCCACCACATACATACCGCTGTGCCACTGGGGGGCAGAAAGAAACAGAAACTGCTCACTTAAATGCAACTAATGGAGCTGTAAGTATTGTAATGAGCAACCTCTCTACGATATTTAAATTATATGTCGTTATAATATATAAACTTTTATTATGTAAGGTATATAATCTTGCCCTCACATAACGAATATTTTTGACAATGCAATTTTTGGTAGCCTGACTTCAAAATGGTAAAATTCAACAAGTACCGGAAATCTCATCTTTCATAACGCACGCAGATCTAGAGCAGATTGCACACACCACCTTCGATGACTTACTATAGCACATGTTTGATTCAGATCCTGATAACAATTATATCTTTGCCTTGATAAAGTGCATATCTTTGTGCTTCTTCAAGATCAGGCTGCAACACTTGACCAGGTCATTCATAGGCACTACCACTAGTAAGAGAAAGACATTTGGCAGGCTAATTTTGTTTAGATACCATTGGGAAATTATTGTAATTACGATGTCTCAGAGCTGGATTATCCGCATACAAAGTTATTCATATAGGCCTTTATGCTAAACTAGTATGTGCTTGTTGTGTTATTGTAAAATGTGTTTGAATAAAATGAAGTATATATTTTTTGCGTGTGATTATTTTAGAGAACTCATTTGTAATTTAGATTAGGTGTTTTCGTTTATTAATATTGTTACACCAATCGGAGATATATTTAACTTGTCAACTAAATATATTTTTGTTTTCTTTATAATTAATTAGCAGATTTTTTTTTTCCTAGCACCAAACCTTAACCGCATTAGTTATTACAGTAGGCTATCAAAACACCAGAATCAGGGTAATTGTTTGTTTTGGAATTTCGCGCAAAGCTACACGAGGGCTATCTGCGCTAGCCGTCCCTAATTTAGCAGTGTAAGACTAGAGGGAAGGCAGCTAGTCATCACCACCCACCGCCAACTCTTGGGCTACTCTTTTACCACGAATAGTGGGATTGACCGTCACGTTATAACGCCCCCACGGCTGAAAGGGCGAGCATGTTTGGTAAGGTAACACTCGTGGAGGTAATAGAATCAGAATGAAAATGTCAAAGTGAGAGAAACTGTTAGCAAATTGAATATTCAATTAGGAAAACATGGTGTTAACTTTCGTGATACAACACAATTTCACCATTTTTTCTAAAATTAATTGCCATACGAACCTATTATGACGTTTCTTTCTGTTAATCAATGAATTAACCAACAGATATTTTTTTTTATGTAATAGCGAGCTAAAAGCAATGTTAATACCCATGTTTCCTTCTTGTTGCAACGAACATTTCAAATATTTTGTACTATTTACTATTGGTTGTTGTTTTGTCTTAGAGCAAAGCCACATTAGGCTATCTGCTATGCCAATCGTAGGGAATCGAACCACGTATTTTATCGTTGTAAGTCTATAAACTTACCGCTTTTCCGATGGAGAATAACAAATAAATTTCTACTTTGATTTTTAATTGCTGTATCAATATCAACCAACAATACTAAATATAATGCTCTTTGTATAATAAGCCTACTGAGGTTTTTGTTTCTTTCAACCAACAATACTAAATATAATGCTCTTTGTATAATAAGCTACTGAGGTTTTTGTTTCTTTCAACCAACAATACTAAATATAATGCTCTTTGTATAATAAGTTACTAAAGTTTTTGTTTCTTTCAACCAACAATACTAAATATAATGCTCTTTGTATAGTAAGCTACTGAGGGTTTTGTTTTTTCTTCTACGAATCATGCTTTCCAATATTTGTTTTTAATCCTTTTCAAAGACATAAGCACTAGACTTTCTTCTCCATCACCAAAAAGAGAAAAACGTAAACTAAGAGGTAAGATATCATATTCTTTATATTAACTGTGATAATGCAAGAATTACGGTGAATTTAACTTTCTTTGTTATGTACAAGGCTAGTTTAAGCTAGAAAACTTTTCTTTTTGACAGATTAGGCTCCCTTCTGTTGATGTTAAATGTTTATTGATAACGATTAAGTAAATCTACGAAGTTCCAGTATATAACATCTTATTTGTACATCCTTCTGGTTGACTTTGAAGAATATAAGACATCAAGTAACAGTCATGTTGTTTGGGCTGTGTGTCCTTTATCTTTACAACACATTCAGCTATGTGTCCCTTACCTTGACAACGCATTCAGCTGTGTACCTCTTATCTTGACAATATATTTAGATATGTGTCCCTTATCATGACAACGCATTCAGCTGTATGCCTTATCTTGACAATACATTCAGATATGTGTCCCTTATCATGACACGCATTCAGCTGTGTGCTTTATCATGAAAACGCAATCAGCTATGTGTCCCTTATCTTCTTAACGCATTCAACTATGTGTCTCTTATCTTCACAATACATTCAGCTGTGTCCCTTATACTTACAACGCATTCAACTATGTGTCCCTTATTTTTGCAATGCATTCAGCTGTGTGCCTTTTATCTTGACAACACATTCAGCTATATGTCCCTTATCTTGACAACGCATTCAGGTATGTCCTTATATTGACAACGCATTCAGCTGTGTGTTCCTTATGTTGACAATGCATTAAAGTTGTGTGTCCCTTATGTTGACATTGCATTCATCTGTGTTTCTTATCTTGACAACGCATTCAGCTGTGTGTCCCTTATGTTGACAACGCATTAGAATACATATCCTACATCTCAATAACGCATTTGGTTGTGTGTCCCTTACCTTGATAACGTATTTCATTGAGTGTCCCTCTAAGTATGTGACTCAGATATTGTTTTAAAATCACACGAATAAACGCAAAAAAGGCCCACAAATTGTAATTTGTGTTTGGTTGTAGAATAATGTATAAAATATCAAGATTCTGCAATGCAGTTATGATATGCCATTAACATACAATAATATTTTAAGACAATCAACGTCTCATGTTCACGAATTGGTAAAAGTCTTGATGTTAGTTATTCCAATTTTCTAGGAATACAGGATTCGCCAACGAAGAGTTCTACTGTATATAAAATCTTTAAGCACAAGTTTTAGTGACTTTGTATAAAAGTAGAAGTTATCGAATACCTCTATTTTTTCAACTGATTACTTACTGACTGTTTCTTCTATTTTTTAGGATCTATAAATATATTCCTATTACCAGATAAAATTTTAATATCCAATCATTCTTCCTTGTTACCACACAAAACCTTAATATCCAATCATTC